TCACAGAATAACAATATCATATAAACTTTTTATCCTAATAAAGTAGGAGATGAGCTTCAGGTTCAGAATGTGGAAATAAACCTGATTAAGCTTTAAATGAGGAAGATGAGGTCAGAAAATCACTGCAGTATAAACTATCTGACAATAAACTGCATTTAAACCTGTAACCTAACCTGCTGTAGGAACAGAGTGGATTTATTCACTTCAGTCTATGTGAAAGATGAGATTTTAAAAACTAAGAGAAAAAAGGAAGATGTCTGTGAATCATTTCCAGCTCATTCACAGGTTTAAATAACAGAAGATANCGTCTATCACCAACATAGGCCAATCAGCTAACCAGTATTTTCGCCCCTTCCCAAAATTACTTCAACGGAAGGTTTCCAGATGAATATGCGGAGCAAATACATCTGGCGGAGTCAGGTTAACTCAGTACTGCACCAAGGTGTTTTTCACCACATAGCAAAATAAATATTTTTTCAAGATGATGCAAAGCTTAATCTGACACTGTTACCATTACAGCTTGGAAAATCAGTATTTAAACACCCTTCAGTTTTTGCAAGTTCAACCACTTAGAAACCATGGAAGAGCCTGAAGTTGTCATCATAGGTGCATGTCTAGGATGAATGCTTTGGGTCCTTTATTTAGGTTTTTTTCTCCATTTTAAAATGAATCAGACCTTAGTTGGACTATTCTGTTCTAAGCAGGATCTAGAACTTCTACAGAAGTTCTAGATCCTAGAACTACTGTAGAGAATCAGCATCCATGCAGAAATGCTCTCAGTCAGTGAAGCTCTGCTGTGGTCATCTGCTCCTTTATTCTCAGTATTACAGTCCTGCATCATCATGTCTCCTCTGGCCTTCTCTGCAGCAGAGACAATCTGAGGTAGGTTTCCTTATTTGGAGCTACTTCCTGATGAAATGAAAAAGGCTGTCCTTTTTTACCTTCCCCTTAATATTGAAACTCCTCCTACACTGTAACTTTAAACCACCTCCAGTTTAGATCTGACAGAGGAGCAGCCTGAGAGATTATTTTGGCTGCAGTGCTTCTTCTAGCAAGTTCAAACATGTCCGTTCATCAGGGTTAGTAAAGCTATAAAACACAGACCATTTATAGTTCACTAAATGAATCTAATACAGGTGTTTGTTGTCTGGATCAATAACTTTAATCAGGATTAAAACTGATTCAATATTACCTTATTTCTGGGTTTTTATAGAAACCTTATTATCTCTGCAGGACGTCAGCTGCTGTTTGTGATAATATGAGCTTGCAGCTGCTGACAGGAAGGGTGGAGAAACCAGTTGAACAGAAACCTGAAGTTGCTTCAGAGATTAACTGTTAAACAGCCGGAGGGCCTCCCAGTTGGGCCACAGGTACATGGAAACATCCTGTTCTAGGTCAGAGTAAAACCACACAAGATCATCTGAATGAGAACCTTTTATATTTGATCAGGATGAGGATTTAAATTGACTGACATTGCTTCTGTTCAAACAAACTGATGGAAAAAAATTCAAAAAAGATTTTTAAAACCTACTAGAAGCACTATTCACTTTATCACTTCAAACAGATTAAACTCAGACTGAAATCTCTGCTCTGCCTTTTAAAATCAGCTTTATAAGCTGACAGGGAGAATATTCTACATTCTATTTTAATTCAGTTTATTTCTATAGCGCCAATTCACAACACATGTCATCTTAAGGCATTTTACAGTTTACCAGATCACACAGTCAAATTGATATAAAGTTTTTTAAGGAAAACCAGTTGATTGCATCAACTCATTGACTAGAAG